CCTGGCACTTCGCCTTGTTGAAGTTCATACAATTGGCTTTGGCCCATTGATCCAGTCTGTCCAAGTCCTCCTGCAGAGCCTCCCTACCCTCAAGCAGATCAGCACTCCCACCTAACTTGGTGTCATCTGCAAACTTACTAAGGGTGCATTCTATCCCTTTGTCAAGATCATTGATAAATATGTTAAACAGAAGTGGCCCTAGTACTGAACCCTGCAGAACACCACTTGTGACCAGCCGCCAGCTGGATTTAACTCCATTGATCACCACTCTCTGGGCCCAGCCATCCAGCCAGTATTTTACCCAGCAGAGTGTATGGTCATCTAAGCCATGAGGAGCCAGTTTCTTCATTAGAATTCCCTGGGAAACAGTGTCAAAGGTTTTACGGAGGTCGAGGTAAACAATATCCACAGCCTTTCCCTCATCCATCAGGTGGGTCATCTTATCACAGAAGGAGATTGGGTTCATTAAGCGGCACCTGCCTTTCATAAACCCATGCTGACTGGACCTGATCACCTGGTTGTTCTGTAAATGACTCATGATGGCACTCAAGATGATCTGCTCCATGACCTTCCCTGGCCCTGAGGTCAGACTGTCAGGTCTATAATTTCCCGTATCCTCCTTTCAGCCTTTCCTGTAGATGGGTGTCACATTTGCTATTCTCCAGTCCACTGGGACCTCCCCAGTTAGCCAGGACTTCTGGCAGATATGGAAAGGGGCTTGGTGAGCACATCCGCAAACTCCTTCAGTACTCTTGAATGCAGCCCATCCAGCCCCATAGACTTGTATATCTAAGTGGTGTAGTAGGTCACTGACCACTTCCTCTTTAATTGTGAAGGCCACATTCTGCCCTCCCTCCCTGTCTTCCAGCTCAAGGCACTGGGTGTCTAGGGAACAATTAGTTCTAAAGACTGAGGAAAAGAAGGCATTGAGCACCTCAGCCTTTTCCTCATCCTTTGTCACTCTGTTTCCTCCTCTACCTAGTAAAGGAGGAAGATTCTCCCTAGCCCTCCTTTTGTTGTTAACGTATTTATAGAAACATTTGTTATCGTCCTTAACAGCTGTAGCTAGTTTAATTTCTAATTGGGCTTTGGCTCTCCTAATTTTCCCCCTGCATAGCCTGACTACTTCTTTATAGTCCTCATGAGAGACCTGCCCCCTCTTCCAAAGGTCACAAACTCTCCTTTTTTTTCCTAAGGTCATGCCAATGGTCCCTATCAGCCAGGCCGGTCTTCTTCCCTGGCAACTTATTTTTCGGCACAGGGGGACAGCCTGCTCCTGCACCTTTAAGACTTCCTTCTTGAAGTATGTCCAGCCTTCCTGGGCAGCTTTACCCTTCAGGGCTGCCTCCCAAGGGACTTTGTCACCCAGTCTCCTCAACAGGCCAAAGTCTGCCCTCTGGAAGTCCAAGACGGCAGTTTTACTAACCCCCTCCTTACTTCCCCAAGGATTGAAAACTCTCTCGTTTCATGGTCGCTATGCCCTAGATGACCTCCAACCTTTACTTCCCCCACAAGTTCTTCTCTGTTCACAAGGAGCAGGTCCAGAAGGGCACCTTCCCTGGTTGGCTCCCTTACCAGTTGTGTCAGGAAGTTATCTTCCACACACACCAGGAACCTCTGGGACTGCTCTCTCTCTGCTGTATTGTATTTCCAGCAGGTATCTGGAAAATTAACGTCCCCCACGAGAACAACGAGTAGTGATCATGAAACTTCTCCCAACTTATAAAATATTGCATCCACCTCTTCATCCTGGTTGGGTGGTCTGTAACAGATTCCCACCACAATATCAGCCTTGTTTGCCTTTCCTCTGATTCTTACCCATAGTGACTCAACCCTATCATCACTGTCATTAATTTGCGTGCATTCATATGTCTCCCTAATATAGAGGGCCACCCCACCACCTCTTCTTCCTCGCCTATCTCTTCTAAAAAGTTGGTAGCCATTGATTGCAGTGCTCCAGTTGTGTTAGTCATCCCACCAGGTTCCCATGACAGCAGTTATATCATAGCTTTCTTGCTGCAGAATGGTCTCCAACTCCTCCTGTTTATTGCCCATGCTGCATGCATGCACTTCAGCTGAGCTAACAATCCTGCCCCTGTTTTGGGAAGAGAAGCCCTAATTCCTACCTGATCATTCTCCACCGTTTCCACAGTTACTAACTCATCAACAAGCCTAGTGCTTTTGCTGCTGAATGGGTTACCTTCCCTCACCTCAATTGAGATGTTAGACTGAAAGAACACACCAGCACACCGACCATTCAGCACCAATATGCCACATTCAGTCTCCTCTCTGGCAAGCCTGGTTTCAGCCCCATCCCCCTTCGAAGCTGGTTTAAAGCTCTTCCTATAAACCCTGCTAATTCTTCTCCCAGGATCCTTTTCCCCCTTTGAGACAAGTTCATCCCATCTGTTGCTAGCAGGCCAGGTGTCTTACAGACCAACCCATGGTCAAAGAACCCAAAGTTCTGCCGGTGACACCAGGCTTGAAGCCAAGAATTCATCTGATGGTTCTTCCTGCCAAAACCCTTATCACTCCCTGCAATTGGTGGGATAGAGGAGAAGACTGCTTGCACTCCCAATCCCTCAACCAGTTGACCCAGGGCCCTGAAGTCTTTTGTCATTGCCCATGGACTTCTTGATTTAAGTTCCTCACTACTCACTTGAAAAATTAATAATGGGTAGTAAATTGAGGAATGAACCAGAGTAAGAAGTTTTCTTTTAAATTCCTTGACCCTGGCCCCAGGGAGGCAGCAGACTTCCCTAAGAAGTGGGTCCTGTCTGCAAATAGGGCCTTCCGTTCTGTTCAAATGTGAGTCCCCCTATGACAAGTATGTGCCTTTTATTCTTTACTGAGGCTGTTTTGATCGGTGGCTTAGTCTGACTTCGTACTGGTGACACCACTAAGTTAGGTGAACCTTTGTCCTTGTTGGTGTTTGATTCTCCCTGCAGAGCAGTGTATCTATTTTGCAAGGGAACCTGCAAGGGGGAGTGCAGTAGCTATTGGGACGCCATGCCTGCTGTGCCTGGCAGGAACTTGTCGCCACTGATCCTTATCCTCTAAGTCATCACATTCAGCAAGATGGAGAGAGGATAGGGAACCCTCTGTGTCCTTAGCACTGTGTGCCTGTTGGGGCTGTTCCAAGGAAGAAAGAGTCTGACTCCACCGGTCATACTGTCATACTCCCTTATAGCCCTCAGCCTTTTGACTTCCTCTTTCAGCTCAGCCACAAGGCTGAGCAGTTGATTCACTTGCTCACATCTAACACAGGTGTTGTCCCCACAGTCCTCCACTGCAAATGCAAGGCTCCGGCACTCTCTGCAGCTGGAGGCCTCGACACCTACATGTTTGCGTGGGACCTCTGTCTGGGTCGCCAATCACTGCTCACTAGCACTACTAAGATGCACAAACATGTTGAAGTACATTCTTTTGATATTCATTTCTTCTTGGAGACTCAGATATGCTAGACCACTAAGAAATTATAGGAATTGCTCAGTTGCATGCTAGCGAACACTCTGGTCTCCTTGAAACAATCAGAATAGAACAGATTTAAGAAAATAAATGACATAGCCTAGAGTCCTTGTTCATGGTGAGAAAGTACAGAGAGCAACATAATACTTCCTCTGATGACTCAAATTATCAGTAGAAACCACCTAGCACAAACGTTTACCAAAACCGTTAAAAATTATAGTAAGATCTACTGAGAAAAAACACAGAAGAGGAAAGATAGAGAGAGATATATAAAATAAATATATATATGTGTACCAATGAGAGCTGTTTGAGGGGTTTTTTTGACATTTTAGAAAAAATTTGAAAGGACCACATAATTAGATTAGTAAGTACACTACAGAACATACTGCAGGCATTTTATCTTATAACGGCTAGTAAGATTAAATCATCAGCCTAACTCACAGTCTTTAACAATTTTTTGAATTATTTTTATTTTCTATTTATGAAAAAAAATCTAACTCACAATTATTTTTTAAAATGAAACTTAAGACGTTTAAAAATATATGTTATTTGTTACCTGTAAATGGTATGGGGAACATACACTTCTCTAATTGGGAATTCCAAAATCTCTTTGTGAGGACGATTACGATTTTCTGAAAATGGCTTCACTGGTAGTAACTCTGGTGTCAGACAATAACCAAGGTTTTCTGGAGCTGGGGAAATCTCCAGTTTAAGTGTTCCTTTAAAAAAAATTCACAAAATATCAGCAAAACCCATAAAAAATAACCAATGTATAATAAAACAAAAATAATATGTGAGGTTACATAGCAACAGTGCAGAAGTAAGAACTGGACACTCAGCTTGCAGTCTGCACGAGAATGAAAGCATAGGTCTAGAAAGATACACAGGAAGTAACCTACACACATCGCTACACATCAGGCCAATATATAGCTCTTTATGTCTACCCTGTACAATTTCAAGGAAGCAGGAAAGAAAAAAGGAATACCATATGCTGGGTCGATGTTCTGGTATCTTTCACACACAAATAATATAAAATTTGTCTGGGAGAGAAATAAAAGACAAAAGGGCTGTTGTCTAATACAGTTCTCTCACACACACACACAAACACACCCCCGCCGATTCTGCTCTGATTAATCCCTGCCAAAGCAGACACCACCCACCAGGAAAGTCAGGCTTGCTGTTGTAAGCACTTAAACAGTTAACACTGATGACATTTACCCAAGTATAACTAGACTTTCAATTTAAATTCTCTGCTGTGATTAGTGAAAACCATTTAGGGAACTCAGACTTGTCATTTCTGACAATGTGCTAAAAAGGCAAACCAGCTTTGCATTCAGTTCATGTTTGTTAAGGTTCCTCTACAGCCCAGAAGACCTTGAGCTGTAATTGATGTAAAAAGAAAAAATAAGGTGGTCAGGTTTTTGACAGTATCTCTGCTTCTCTACCTCGTTAAATCACACTGACCCAGATACCCCGACAATCTCCCTCTGTAAAATATGACACATTTAAAACCATTGCAGGGAAATCGCAAGGCTCTTAGCAATTTTCTTTTAAGCACTGTCTTCAAACAGTTTGAATAATAACAACAGACATCAAGTGGATACACTGTAAATTAGGGAGGAAAGCAAATAATTTTATAATATCAAGCTAAATATAAATCTCCATCCTCACTCATACAGGAAAAAACCCTCAAAAGCATCTGTGCTTAGGTAGACACTGGGAGCCCAGGATGTTCCGCAATAGCACATACTATAGACTTAAACCCCAAGTCAATTATACTTTGGGGCTGGAATTTACAGAACAATTTAGGGAAGAAAAGTACACATATTCTTTTCCATCCAAACTGAATTATGTACCTGGTAAAGTCTTAATTCTTCTCTGCAAGGAAGATGATCTTTTGAAATCAGCTAAAAATTTGAACAGATCTTCATCACTGAGCCTGTCTCCTTCCTACCAAGAGAAAGACAAAAATCAGTACCTTTACAACAATACTCCATAACACTAAGAAAAGCTTCTGGGTAAACCATGTCTTTGAGGCATGCAAAGCAAGTGGGTTATTGCCTACTTGACAGCAGTTATCCTCTGTCCCCATACGAACATCACTGGTAACTTTTTCCAACACAGTTCACATTGCATAGATGAAAAACGTCTTAGGCAATCAGAAGTAAGGAGTATCCAATACCTGTTTAAAAAAGGTGCTGAGGGTCAGAGAGATTGTTTTGAAGTTTGATACTGGATAGCTGTCCTCCGAGCTGAGACTTCTTTCAGAAAGTCTTCTTGCCTGTAGCAGCGTTGCCCTCTTGTCACTAGTGGATCCTTTTCCTTCAAAGGGAAATTAAGTGAAACATCAACTTGCTTTGTGTTGCTTCAGTACAAGACTATCAGAATACACTAGAAATCCACAACTTCCCAGCATAATCAGAGGACAGAAAGAGTATCTAAAACATTCCACTACTTTCATTTCACACTATGTGAAATACTGGAATGCCAGGACACACCTAGTGAAGTTACATTTTTCTGCTGCAGAGCACTGGCTTAATCAAATTTTTAGTTCATGGGTTATAAAGCAGTTTGGTTAATGTTGTTGACCAGTGGTCCTGTATATGCTAGAAACTAAGATGTTAAGTATTTTGACTGCCTTATATTGCAAACAAGCTCCATATGGAAGGGACTTCTACAAAGCCAGTGTTCAACAAAAATTTGGCCTAAAAATAGAAGAATATTTAGTATGCATAAAAATAAATATGCAGAGATGTAGAATGAGCATATTGTGCCTGTAGCACTGAAAATGAAGGCTGACTCTGAATCTGTTGTTTTCTCTTGATGCCAGAGTGAATGACCTTGTTTCTTATGCACAGTCCTACCAAAGAGTCTCTTTGTTTTAGTTAGAAAAGTTAGACAACTACCATTTAAACCTTCGGCCTCAGGTATTTCTCGTTCAAGTGTTGAAAGGTTGAAGAAATTAGTTAGGCTTATGGGAATCCAGGCGAATGGCATTCTATATTTCCCCAACCGCTGACAAAAGGATTCGGCTTGGGCTTTCAGTTTTTCAATCTTTTCTTTTGTCTAAGACAAAAAAGATAATGACTGTTTAAAAAGCAATCAGTTATTTTAATGCTACTATAGATAAAAAATGGAAATTACATATTTACAGTTCAGTAAATAATTTGCATTCTTATCTTCCATGTTTTCTCGCTACATCACTGCCAGCATCACAGCTGTTTTGAGATGTACGTTCACTTCTTATTTCTTTTCAATTAGTTCATTTTCATTATACAAAAGGAGAACACAAATCTTTTTTCAGTGACCTTCAAGCCTAGCATGAACAATCACCATGAAAGTTTAGCAGGTTCTACTTCCTTCATCAGATACAAACCCAATATTCCGCTGAAAGCAATATTCTAATAGTGAGAGACAGGTGGAAGGCCAGCAAACATTCTCAGTCTGCTCCAGGGAGGTAAATGACCATGAATTCCTTGAAGAAAGCTCATGTTATCAATGGATGACAGCACCGAACCGGCCACATACACACAACAGGTTGTTTGCCCATCCAACTCAATAACATGTCTCGCAGGTACGAATATTTCTGCTACTCCACATTGCATTATCATCGCCTTTGCTCACCCCTATCTGCTTACTGACTCAAGTCTTTGTCCATATTGACTTTCAGAGGGGTCAGTAATGAAAGTGCACCTTGCCTTCTCATGATTTCGTCCCGTTGGTCACAGACACCAGACTGCTTACACCACAGATGTGCCAACTGGCTTCCTCCCCAATGTTCTTGGGATTCTGTCCTGTGCCATAGAGCCTACTCTTTCTCTCTTTTTCCCTTGGGCATACATTTTTTATCTAAATACTCTTTATAGTTATTTACTTACCTTGCCAGCTTCACTTTCCTTAAGAACCATGTAGGGTTCTGCACAGTCTCCAATTTCTCCTTGCTGAAGCACCTTTTCTATCTACAAAAATCAGTAAAACAAGACACTTACAAAGAAAAAAAAATCCCCCAAGTAGTAGCATGTTGCTTCTCTAGCAATATGGAAGAAAAAAATCCCCCAAGTAGTAACGTGTTGCTTCTCTAGCAATACGGAAGAACCTGTCTAAATGCGCAATACAGAATATTTAAAACTGTCTTTATGGAGTAACTGATACAAAAACTTCTAGTTTTTCCTCTGGTTGTTAGAATGCAGAAGATAAATACATGACAACACTGACAATCGGGTACTACTACATTTTCACTGAATCAGGAAATTAACACATTCCAAATGAAGTGATTCAGCCTAACTCAGTTTCAGAATTAAATAAACAAAATTATGCAAAGTGCACTAAGCCAAAGCCAAAAAACCTCCACAGAATGTAATTACAATTTTTAAAAATGGCTTGTTTCATTTTAATTTAAATTTCCATTAGGCAGAGATAGGAAGAACTAGAACACAGGGTATCAATATAACTTCTTAGCTTGGGAGTGAGACATACCTGCACATGTACTATTTAAAACTACCAGAATTCATCTCAGCTACAGGAGACTCATGTTTGTCAGCTCCATGAATTCAAACAAGCACAGCCAGGAACCAGAAAAATGGTGTTGAAGTAGCACTGTAACATACCTTTATTACTAGGTATATATCCGATGAGGGGTAAGTGACAGAAAATACTGCTGATCTTGCCTGAGTAGACAAGTCAATGGAGGGTGTATGAGAACGCAAGAATCCTCTTAATGAATCAGGGTTGAGGTCGCAATGAAAATTTTCTGAGATCTTGAAAAGAAAAACAATTAAAAGGTATTGCAAAGCAAAAATGCATCAGATTGTACTTAAAGGGGGCCTACAGGAAAGATGGGAGGGACTCTTTTATCAGGGATTGTAGTGATAGGATGAGGGGTAACAGTTTCAAACTGAAACAGAAGAAATTTAGATTAGATATTAGGAAAAAATTCTGTACTGTGTGGATGGTGAGAAGCTGGAACAGGTTGCCCAGAGAAGCGGTGGCTGCCCTCTCCCTGGAAGTGTTCAAGGCCAGGCTGGATGGGGCTCTGAGCAACCTGGTCTAGTAGAAGGTGTCCTTGCTTATGGTGGAGGGGTTGGAACTAGGTGATCTTTAAGGTGCCTTCCAACCCAAACCATTCTGTGATTCTATGATTTTGTTTGAAAATAAGTCAGAAGTAGTAGAACTACAAAATAAAAAATTGCAAGCATGTGACTTTGACGGAATAAAAATAATCCTGGATCAGACTGCATGTGTAAAAAATGGCATGGTTTTTGTAAGTTTTCCTACATTATTATTCCAGAGATAAAAGTCCAAGCTAACTGAACAAAAATACTGTACGCACACTTACCTTTTTTCGTTCTTTTATATCATAGAGAGCTATGCATGCAAACAAAGGTTCAATCTCTATATCAAACCTGTTAAGGAAAGACACCCAGGACACTGATTAATACTGCACTCTTATGACTCTGTATAATAAAAAAATGAAAGCACTATATTTTGACTGGTACTTCCATTAGAAAATAAGGAGAAATATTTAGTTTCAGACCTCAGCTCTCTCGAAGTCTGGAGGATTTTTTTATTAGTGCATTTCATTAGATGATTGCAAGAGGAAAAGAAGGGAACTAAACTGCACACAATGTATTTTCTAAATTTGTCAGAAAGCTGGTCGCAGATATTAGTTAAAATAATCATATCTTTCATGAATTTTTTTTCTGTTGATTAAGTCCAGTAGCGTGTACGGAGACCAATCTAGTTTGCTGGAAATATATAATTTGGGCTCATTCCCAATTCCTTTTCACCCTGACAAGTTAAAGACTCCTGCAATGATGGACAGAAATAGTCCTCTGCTACACTAAGAAAGAACAAGAAAGTGTATAAACAGTTGCGGAGCAGGACACTTGTAGTGGTGTAGCAGGGTCAGCCACAGTAAACTGGTATGAACTAAGAAATGGTGAGTGATGCCTGGGAAGGATACCTACTTCAGAGTCTGCAGCTTCACCAAAATCCTGTTGCCCAGATGTTCCTTTGGGCGATCTGGCACCGGCCGTATCTCCACTGCATCCTCCTATAATTAAACAGCTATTGGAGTCATACTCAATTAAAACAACCGTAAATTTACATACGTACATAAAACCTTTATGTGATGTTAATTGGGCCACTGCTACAGAGTAGCAATTTCCCACACTCAGCCGGAATTTCATCTCTTCAGAGATGAAAGAAAATTGATTTATATTTCTGAATATTTATGCTTCTGGCCCCCAAGCATTACAGCAAAGGGTAACACTCTGACAGAACCGTATCACCAGCACACGGCTTGACCCACGCTGAGAGGGGTATAACAAAGCCTCAGGCAACATCACCAGTCCAAGTACAACCCCCTGAATGCGTGTTCAAGATAGCTGACAGGAGCCCAAGGTGACATCCGTTCGCCATGTTATTATCCAAGGCAGACACATATCCAGGCCACAAACCCTGTCTTTTGACCGCGGCGCAGCTTTAGACATGCCAGGACAGCCACCTCAGGAGGGCTTGCAGGCCAGTCAGCCTCTGAGCTCACCTCATCCACGGAGGGGTAGAGGGCAAGGAGCTCGGCGTGCCTGTTGGTGCGGCGTGCCTCCTCATTCTGCCTCTCGAACTCCTCGGCGCTGACATGCCGCAGCAGGTTTTCCAGGCGGGGCTCCGGCTGCAGGCTGCGCAGGTCAAAGTCAGAGGAGGCGAGGGTCGTCCTCGAGGCCTCCTCAGGGAGCGCCTGGATGTGTCGGGGCCCCGCCTGTTGGAAAACCACAAAATGGTGAGCTGTGGCTTGGACACTGGGGCGGTGCGAAACGTCTCTTGCTTGTCTGGCAGAGAGGGTCTTAATGCCACTTCTGCCACGAGGCCTAATGGCAAGCACAGCTCTCTGCCTCATGCTATTACAAGATCCTAGGATGCTTCCTTTAAGGAAAGCTGCTATATTGGATTGCTTTTCCCGAAGTGAAGAAAATGTACCTGAAAGTTTGCATCCCCGGAATCCAATGTTTCTGATGCAAATGTTTGTTTTCGAAGTGTCTTGTGAAAGTCTTTTCGGGATCCCTTGTTTTTCAGGCTACAATTATCTGAACTGCCTTGGTTCCTTTCACAGAGAAGCCCGAGAAAGTCAGCACAAGGACAGCACAAGGACGAGGAAGGGAAAATAAAACAGAAAAGACAAATTAAAAAAAAATATTAAGCAACTGGAAATATTATTGTGCCAAAGAGCAGTGTAGCACAGCTTTTATGCAAAAATGTGACATTGCACAATGTTTAATTGTTTTATCACACCACTGCAACTCTATCATTAAGAATGGTTTTAAAAGGAAGAGAATTCACTCAGATCACTTTTGCATAGACTTTGAGCCTGAGACAGCAGCAAAACCCAACCTAGGTACAAATTCAGCTCTGAGCTCCTCATCAGACACTATGATTATTTCAGTGACCATAAGAACACAGATTGGGATCACTTATCTCTTGGCTGGCTCTTTGCTCCAGCAATTGTACATCAAGGAACTCATTGCTCTTGTCCTGGACCTAGCTGGTATCCCAAGTTAATCACATACAACAATCTATACCTTTCAAACAGTCCCTGTTTTTGAAGAGGACTATTGCTACAGCACAGTGTAACCTTCTCTGCCAGCAACTTCCCAAAATTTTGCAGGAAGGTATCTATTTCAAGTTACATTTTTGTGGCAGATTTAAAAAACCAGCTAGTACCCTGAAAAAAAGATAACTGACACATCCAGAGCTCTATTTCTTCCACTTTACTATGCAATTTGCTAAATCCCGTGAGGGCCTTTTTTGCAGTCAGCCTCCTCAGTTACAGAATCCTGCTTCATTCATATTCCTTTCTGTAACACTCCCAAAGCGATGTCTAAACATCTGAGTACTTTCATAAAGATGCCATGATAAGCAATTATTGATCAGGGAGACAACGTTTTATTACATTTTGGGAGTAACTGAATTATATGCTCTGATGTGTTTTAATTTTAATTGTTTGCATTTTAATCATTTACCAGTTTACTGCAAATGAAAACTGAAGTCATAAAAGAGACAACCCCAGCTCTCCTTGGATGTGACCTTGTTTTGGAACCACCTTAATAATCAAGAATGAAAGACAGAAATTCTGCCTGAGTTCACTTTAAGATATTTCAGCATCCAAAAGTGGTTTTGTTGATTATTTTTTCACTACCGCTAGTGGCAAACGAATGACTAACGGAGAGATTTCTGTACCTGAGACCTTTCCCCAAGGTATACAAGCTATGCTAGAGATGCCTTTCCCCTAAAGGATTCCTGGAAAATTTATTTATATTGTTTATTTATTTTGAAAAGCATGGTAGCAATTGAAACTCACCAAGAGGCAAACACTGTTTTTAGCACACATGTCAATTTAATGGCCACACACTGAACTAACAAAATGGGACAAGGAAAAGGAGCAAAGGACAATTGAAAGAATAAACTGACAGGCACAGGAACAAGCCTCCCATTCAGCCTCTGGCAACAACACATGGATCCCTCAGCCGTGTCCAGCCCCTCTGTCACATACCCCTCTGCCCTGGCGCACAAGGACCACGTCTACTCATGCAACCCACTGAAGACTCTTCAATCTCCTGTTCTGAACCTTCACATCCATGAATAGATGAAAGTCTCTTACACACTCCTGTCATCCATAACTCGCCAGACCATACGTTAGGCAAGCTGTCCTATGAATCTTTGTCTTTCAAAGTTTCAAACTACAGTTTTTCCAGCCTTTCCCAAAACAATGGAAAGCTTTCTACAACTACTTTTTCTCAGTTCTCTCTTGATGTCTTTTCTTCCTCTCACATCTGTTTTAAGAATAGTGTCCAAGCATAACATAAGACTCCCAATAACAATCTATCCATGGTTTATGTGACACTACAGCATCTTTTACACTGTCTTGTTCTTTGCAATTTTTAATAAATTCCTTGCTTTGTTAGCCACAGCCATCAAAGCTCAGCCCTCTGGCAGGGCCCTTTGTCATGTTTACTGCAGACTCAACGGCTCAATAAAGTTTTTGAACACAAATTTACCTTATCTGAATGAATGAAATAGTAAAACACACGACAAATCTTTTCATGCATCTCTGTTTCTATGGCTCCATTCACATTTCTACAAGCATATGTAAGTGCAAAAATAGCTATGTCCTATTTTTCACCTCACCTGCTTTACTGCTCACTCCCTACTTGTATGCACAGACAAAGTTGCATGCTGGCTCTTTACACCATGCTCAGAACACCACCGCGTGAAAGAGCCAGCGCCTGTGCTCTGAGCGGTGCAGGTGGAGAGCTTGCAAAACCCACCAGCTTATTTTTAGTGACTCACTGTGGAACAGTTCAGAGAACTGAATCAATTTCATCAGCACCCCTGGAGGAAGTCTCTTAACAACCCTGAGCAGCTGCTCGTCCCTGCACAAGCTGCACATTTAAACAATGCAATTCCTTTATGATCACCAAGAGTCAACCTGCGACACGCTGAGTGCTGATGTACATCAGGTCAGAAAAACAGAGAATAGCAAGGGCAGGTGAAGGGGCACAACAAAATGGCAGCAAATGTGCTAGCACTCTATCATCAGCTGCTACTACCGCTTCTCAAGAACAGGGCTTGAGCGTGGGAGGGGATGAACAGGAAGCGGTGCAGAAAAACAGAGCTCCAAAAACCTTTCTGAAGAGCAGGAGGGGATGATGGGGAAGGAGTGGAGTTCCACTGGCACAGTGCATCCCTGAAAGTCTGGGGACAGACACCCCCACAAAGGAAGCACTGATTCAGAGTTTCCTTCACATTTAAGAAGTGAAATGGAATGAAATGAAATTATAAAATTAAATTAAAGTAAAATAAAATAAAGGAAATTAAGTCACTTGTAATGACTACTGGTACAATTCTGTGTGTTGAATTACACTGACCCCAAATGCAGAAATCACTTACTGACGTAAAATAGTAAAATAGGATGTTATAACAATGATCCCATGAACACAAGCAATCACTGCTGGAAAAGCCCACAATCCTCAGTTTTTTGCTACTAGCACTCCGTTTTGTTTTCAGATACCATTAGAAATCAGATCATGTTGAATTTTCAAGGCATGGAGTGAAATGAAGAGCTTACAAATGTAACCTTTACCCCTGTTATCTTTCCTTTTAGTCTGATCAAATAGTAGTATTCCTGATTTAGATAAAGCTCCATTATAGACTTTATTACAGACATTATTTATTACAGACTTTATTACAGACATCATTACAGTGAATTTCTTCGCAATTAATTCCCATAGTGTCTGATAAGAAGTAAATGCAACAATACTTAGCTATAGCCCACTAGTTCAAAAGGACCAATATAGTTATATATATTACTGAAAAACCAGTTCTTGTCTTCAGTCAGTGATTCAAATCATTATTCTGTAGGATTACTTACAACAGCATGCATCTCCTCTCTGACAAATAAAATGCAAAGTATTTTCTATTTTATTTACTTGTATGTAGCTTACTTTCGATTCACAATCAGCCACTCCCGGATATACGTCTGAACACAGTCTCTGACATGTGAGTCCAGTTCAACCCTGGGGAAAGAGCAATGTATTGTAAATATTTTAGTACCTTTCTTTGCCTTAAGGACAAAGAAACATATCTAAAACCACTATTCAGATAAGGGCCTCTCTATTAGTCATCTCCTGTATATTTATTTTACTGCTAAACTATTGTTTGAGGTTTAAAGAATTCTGTGTACTGTATGAATTCCCTGATGCAGGTTTTTCTTTGTGTTTATAAATTAACAAACATACATTTAACAGAGGTAACCATTTGCCACACTATGCATTTCATGAATATGAGACCAATGTTGCTATAAAATACAGTGAAATAAAAGAAATTATACCAGGTACCTATCTTTGTGATTTTCAAAACTCGGTAACAAGTCTCAACAGACAGAGATATTTTTCTAGAGACCTCACTCAGCTCCTGGACTCTTGCAAATACATAGTGTCTTGCATGTTTTTGGTGTAGTTTTCTCTTTCTCAGAGAAGTGAAGAAAATTCTAAAAAGGGACCCTAAGCTTTTAATCAGATAGCATAATAAAACTTTAAGATCTAAGGATATGTTATAATTTAATTTTTCAACTTTCAGCTAAGTCTCATTTGATGTAGGGGGTTGTCAGTGCTTCCTGATAGACTGGATAGTGACTGGAACTGAAATATTGTAAGCTAAATTTGATATGCGTGAATTTGCTGTCACGATACTGTAGCGAAATTCCCCTACCCCTACTCTAAAAAGTTTTAGTGACCTGTGCAAAAATTGCTACCTTGTCCGATCCAAGTGAGTAAAAGAGCAGAATACACATGTAATGCAACAATGGGTGAAAGGTATGACACTTTTTAGCACTTTCCACCCCAAACTTAACAGATTTGCAAACAATTTTCAAGACCCTGTAACAACTGATTTGGGTTCATGCATGCACCGCAGGATGGAGCTTTGGCTGGTACCAGACTGCTGTGTGTCCCTGCCACCAGTGGACTGACACAGCACACGGTCGCTTCCGCTTCTGGTTCAGGTGGGACATATGTCTGCAAGCAGGCAGCATGTTAATCCAGTTTGGTGGGTGGTAACTGTTTCCTGCTCTTGGTGCAAGAAGACACAGACTGCACTGCCTGCAGGTGAATCTTTGGTGCATGCCTCTCCTGTGCTCCCATCTTCCCTTGACCAGGATTTTCTGTGAAAGCACTAATATTGATTAATGGTGGTGTGAATGGCTAAATAGGAAGATGCTGTGTAAAAAAATAGGCTGAAAGCCTGTCTGTTGGTATTGACTATTTCAGCTTTGCCACAGACTCCTTACAAAACCCTTAATGTCACTGTGGTGCAAATCAGGCCTAAAACTGAGTGTACAGCATGAGTCTACATGTTCTCCCACTGGAAAAAATATTTTTAAACAGTAGGCATGGGGGAGGGATGTAACCTTGGAAATAGGAGAGAAATGGTCATCTTATGTTTTAAATCTCATTTCAAAGCTGAATAATTTTTTACTATTTTTGTCCACCATTTAAATAAATGGGAACTTCAAGCATCAAAATATTTACTGTTTCTCACATCCATTCTCTCTCCCTGATCCACAGGAAAACAAGAATTCATGATAAAGAACACTTTCTGTAAGTAACTTCAAGCGAAAATCACCTGCTGTGCAAATGTTACAAAATCCCCTAGGAGCTGTGTGATTCAAAGAGTTCTAGATGACCTAGTATGGCACCTCGTCTCTTCCATCTTTGCTCTCCTGAACTTCCTCAAGAGGTGCACTGGGCCAAGAAGGAACTTGCAGGCTGAGGCCTTGCTTAGACAGAGGCGTTCTCAAATACTCAACAGCTGACAAAAGTCATATAAACTGTCTTAGCCTCATTGCATTTGCTATGTTGGGCAGAAAACACTGAACAAATACCACTGTTGTATAGGGCTCTAGTTTATACAGCTGGCTGGTATAAATTAGAGCAGGCTGTTACAACTTTTGCAGGAACAGAGGGGGATGCAAGTCTGCCCCACGAGCCAAGACACCGTATTTGTCCCTTTAGTGTTCAGGTTTAGCACAGCAGAGAATACAGACTGCGCCATTCATTTCCTGAATATACTGGAAGGAGCCATCCCCCCATGTTGCACGGTTTGCCATCTTTGCAGACATAGCAGTTAAAGGCTAAACTGGTGCTGACTTCACATTTATCTGACTGTCACTGCTTGCAAAGCTCAATAGTCCTTTGTGGTTCTACTTGAAAGTACCATTCACAGCAAAAAAAACCCTTGAAGAGTATTTTGTATACAATGCATAGGCTTCTCATAAACCACATCAGAAAACTCTCCAATATATTCCTTTTTCTCATACTGAAAAATTCTGATGCCCATAGTTTCTGTATTTATCAAACCAGCTTAAATATTTCCAGGATGTCCGAGCACCTGTATCAACACATGCTACCTATTTTAATTTAAAAGCTGTTGAAAATAGTGGAATTATTTTATTAATGTCAGCCCAAAACCAAAAGTGACTGTTACACTAGAAACTAACAGCTTTTTTCCCCAAACCTTGTGAAGTATGAACTATTTCCCCCCTTTTATGCAAGAAAGGTACTGCGAAAGAGATGCTTAGTGCTCTGATTAATGCCATGTAACACATAGCTGGTGAAAAAAAAGAAATAACCCACAATCCTATGCTTACTACATGATCAGAATCAACTTCCACCTTTGGAATCATGGCTACAAAATTATTTTCCATACTACCCTCCTGCCCTTCTTTACTTATCTTCCTGGTCTACGCCTACCTCACTTCCGCCACTACCAGCTAGCTAGCTCAGGAAGTCATGTAAGTGCTTGCATAATTTTAAGTGTGCAAACAGGCCTAACAGAATCAATAGCAAAGTTAAAATGTTTGAGGTTCAGCAAGTGCATAATGGATGGACGGATGGCAGAGTGAGGTGTCTAGATCAGCATCTTCAAAACTATTTTTAAACGTGCAGCATTTCAGAGGGACAGAAAGTCTCCTTACCCATCTTCTGGCATAGAGGGTTGCAAAGTCCTGCACTCTTTGGGTGTAAAGACAATGTCCAAGTCATCTTCAGGAAAGTCACCAAGTTCTTGTGCTAGTTCTGAGTCCAAGTTGTTCAATCGCGTCATTAGGAAGCCTTCAAAATCTACTGGGTCTACTGCGTCGTAAAAGGAAGGCTAATGGAAGAAATAAAAAGATGCTGACTTTAGCAACAGAAGTTTTTTCTTAATAGTGTAATTTAGGCTTATTTATTTAATTCTTGTCATTGTCCCATTATTTATTAAGCATCAGAAACAGATTTTTGACCTGATACACAGTGGCACTGCATTTAATGCAGAGAAAAGTTGTAGTTCTACGAAAGAACTGAATGAATATGAGTTCTATAATGAAACATTCAGCTGAAAAAAACAAGGGAACAAAGACAGAAAAGTTTTAAAACACAAACAAGAAATGGAAGATACAACACCTACACCCAAATTTGCATCTATTTTCTCTGCTGAGCTTTCCTAGATGCTGGTAGAAGGAGGGCTAACTGAGGTATATCCTGGAAGCCCTCAGATGTGTTCTGCTGGATTCCTGTGAAGTGCATTCAGTCCCCCTTGTCCAATCCATGGTATTAAACAGAGTTATGAAAAAGGCAGCAGTGAATAGGAACAACAGAGGACATGGGCAGGTGACCAAAATGATAGTGCCAGTCAGCGCCAGCTGTCAGGGAGCTGCCAATGGACATTACAGCATATGTGACAAAAGGCATTAGCAATAGCAAGGCCAAGGCAGTAAGTCTTGGAAGTTATACTGAGCTAAGGACCATGAGCACCGTGGCTGCCATCATGAAGATCTCACTCATTTGAGGTGCTGTGCCTGAAGGATACTATTAGAAGTGCTGTGTGCTTTCAACTCCAAACAAAGTTGAGGACAAGATATACCCAAAATCAGAAGAAATTATTATTTTTCTGTCTCTAAATGTTACTGGTTTGCATATTATTGGAGTCCTAATTCTATTGGATTTTTCAAGGGATAGTACAGTAACTATACAAAGGATTTCATGGAACTGCTAAAGTTGTTATTGCAAACCTTAGATACCCAGCATTTCTACAGCACATGGCAGTGCACCTTGATAGAGAGCAAGTTGTATATAATTACAGTTAATCAGCCATTGTTACACAGAACATCCTATCAGAACAAAGTTAAACAAGTACAAGCTCTGCCATTCACACATGCTATGAAGCTGTCTGGCTCTTTTTATCTGCTTAGTCTCAAAAACAGAGGCAGGAAATCTTGTTTTGATATGGTGCCTATAAATGTTCCACATACACATAAGTGTGACTCATATGTTGAAAGTATGTATTATCCTATGTATAGATAAAACTGAATATTATTTTACTTGCTATATAGCCAAAGAAAATAGCCTGTATATGTCTAGAAAATAAAACATCTTCTCAGTTGAGTGCAGAGGCCAACACCTCATATTGTTAATTTTCTTGACAAGTAGCAAATAGATCTAAAAAGTACAGCTTTAGAAAACCTATAGTTTATGTTCTGCAAGTTCCAGAAAGGCTGAGGACACCTCAGTGCACTAAGAGCACAGAAAAACAGTTGGAGCATTAGAATAATAGCACTGGAATAACTTATTTACTAGAAGATAGAATTCTAGCAAAAAATAGCGATCAAATCATCCTTGTCTGTAAAGAACAAGGATTCCATTGCACTAATTAGTCCAAACACCTTTCACAAGATTGCCTTCTGAAGCTGCCAGCAACAAATACTCTGAACATAGATCAGATAATCTACCTCTGTGGTGCTGTTGAATTTTAGCTCAATAGGACAATGAGGAATTCCACAATTTATGAAACATGCAAAGGTGCTCAAAATTTTCAAAGTTCTGGCTAACTCTGAACTAAAATGGCTCACACATAATATGCCACGTCAGTCACTGCAGATTGGAAGATGAGTTAGAGCTGATTAGTGGTAAATACAAGTTTTGGACCCTTTTTAATATTCTGGAAATATAAGTTAGGTAGTTATTCACTTACTAAAAATCTGGAAACATCTTGCAGAAAGTGAAGCATATTTAGAAGAAATGTGCTAAAAACATCTAGGAGAAGCAAACCCATTTACACTTTTGAAAAAAATAGATGTGGTAAACACTCCTCAAACGATGTAGTAGAGGCCTTGGAATACAATCAGCTACCACCCCCCACCTCAGGTTCCCCTTTTATAGAGAAACTGTATTTGTCTCTGCATAAATAACGTCTCTGAGCTCAACCCTCTGCCCGTACATTTAAGGGATGGATTGTATTGTCTGAAAACTCCTTCGGGAAAATCTCTCTCTTTCTTTGCTCTTTTTATCCAAAGAGAAAACCTAAAACTGACAGTAAGTCCAGCAAATCATGAGGCAGTCAGCTGAAGAAATACACTGTGCTGTTAATAAATGCTTAGATTGAGCACTATCTCTGGTTTGTACCTAGTGTAGTGCTGAGCATACTGGATCAACAGTTATGAGTAAATAGTGATCTTTATTAGCTATTGATTTTTTAATTAATTGTCAGCATAATATCCTTGACGTTCACTTGCTGTACTGCCAATGGGTAAAACATTACATGTTAGTGTATATATATGAAGTTTTATTTAAAAAAAAAATCACAAAAGATTAAAGTAAAACACAGCTTAAAGTATACATAAGCATATTACATCCTTTCAGCTGCTCAAGACGTAATGTTTTGCATGCAAAATATTTTTGCTTAATACAGTCTAATTTTCGATTAAGCATTCCACTTTCTTTGAGAAATAACACTTTTTTCCATTCTGACAAGCCAAACCCATTGCATTTCATTATGTCTTCCACCTTTTTCTAGTTGAAGTGTTAATAATAGTCTTTAATCACTATAAATGTGTGCTTCTGACTATTGTAATTTAGACATGAATGTAAAAAAGATGGTGAAAATGTAATGCAGAGGGAGGGTAACGGTGTCCCTAATGACCGGGACAGATCATCAAAGGAAACAGAGATACTGTTTCAACTAAGAAGTCAACAGTCCTTCTCATGCATCATACAAGTGTGCAAAACACTTACTCTACAGAAAATGGCACAAATCATTACTGCAAACATACCTTTTTAAGGATGATGGATTAGAGGCATGTAGGTTGTGACAGCACACAAAATGGCAGCTACGGCGTAATACTCGGTAAATGAAATGTTACCAAGTTTCTCAAGAGCAAAAGCAGTTGTCTGCGTGTAGAAGGGACCTAACCTCCCTAGGCTGAATAACCGCAAGGAACAAGTTAAAACACCACAGCATTTCAGATTAAGGAAGTGAGTAGTGGCGGGAGGCCCTGACACACAGGAAGTAACTGCTTACACCTAGTGCTTTACATTTTTCACAATCACTGGTGCACAAAGACTCTTCCTGCTTGGGCCTCAAATAAAAAAAAAAAAAAAAGAAAAAATTAAAAAGATAGGAAGAAGGAGAGTATCAAAATTGTGGTCAGTTTTATTTATGCCATAGTATGTTCACAGAATACCCAGCCTCCTGAAAGGCAATTAAGAAGATCTGGCATTTTTTCCCTTTGTCATAAGGGCAGTGTCACACGGTCTGACTTCTTCAGAGGATTACACGTGGAAGGCTGACGATGATTCGGAGACACATAACAGTTGACTCAATCGTATTTATGCAAATCAGGACACACTATGGCATTTGTCACTTAACATGCTCACTGTACAGCACTGAAAAACACATGAGTGTGCTCTCTCTGCTGTGTCTTTATTCACTAACCTTTTGCAAATCATCTGTGATCACCACACAACCGCATTTACTTGATGGAATTGAATGTTTCCAGCAAGCAAAGGATGTCATATACCCCAACACTTACTAATTATCTTTGATAGTGAATAAATTTCTAGTTAAATTTCTAGTAAATTAGTCTATTTCAGGCTCCAAAGACCATTCTCAGTTTTTTCAAATGCATAATTTCCTCAGCTCACCAAGGAGTATTTTTTAACAGCTTCAGGCAGAAGCCTGTGGAAAGCAAGAAAACTGAAGAAGACCACTTAATTTACCCTAAAAACATTAATCAATGCAGATGCCAAACCTGTGTAAAGAAGATAAACCCAGAACTTACCAGATGAAGAGTAGAAAAGCCAGGGGTACTTAAGCTTCGTTGACAGAACTGCGCAAAGCCAGGTTGGAGAGTAAATTGCTTTCTTATTTCTGCAGAGGAGTGCCTTTAATTAAGCAGAGAAAAACCCTTATAATTACAATTATCCCCACATAAATGCCAAATGTCAGACTGTAGCCAATTTAGTCTCCTATTCCAATGTTTAGAAATGTATTTTGATTATGCTTTAGACTCCTTTTGGTTTGCAGTTGATGCAAATCTCAAAAAACATTTGCAGTCCTATATAATTAAGATTCTGACACTCTTGTCAACACTTTTCTATCACTATATTACAGTCCTCGCAACTGGGAAAGGCTATGCAAGAAAGAATAACTTTGCCCTTAAGTGAAGCATGACTGCAAGACAGTACAGCAATACTTGCAGATTCATTTCTGCAAAGTAAAGATACAGGATAATAGAGCAGACAAAGAAAAATGAGTATCACAGAGGCAAATATTTTAATGAACTAGTAATTGACCAAGGGATAAAAACAAGACAGGACCACTCACTGAACAATACAAGCCCAGATTTACATTACTGCAGTCTGCTGCGAAAAGCACAAGACAAACCAAAGCATGAATTTAAAAATCAGCCTATCCTGTATCAGCTGAACATCTGAGGAAAAGACTTCTTAGGTGCTAATTAATTGATTTCAATGAGAGCAGAAAAAGGCCAGTACTGAATTCTTCAGAAATCCCAGAATGCTAGTACAGTTGCGTGTATCCAATCTGAAAATTCAGTAATCAGAGTAGCTTGGTCATTTTTCACTGAATCAATTAATATTTAATATGATTTAAGAATAATCAACCATGAAATGGTAACAAAATATCTAGAACATATGTAGCATTTCACCATGAACGTTCAGAACAAGATTTTTAAAAGAACAAGATGCACTTAAGCAGATTCCAAGTAAAAAAAATCCTGCAGTCCACCAGGGCAGCCAACTGGGAGACAGAAAAATACAGAGCTAAGAAGACTTTCCCTTCCATATGAGACTCTCTTCCAACTCCAGCAAGGATCAATAGGCATCTGAGAATCACCAGATGCCACATGAGAGTCTGCTTGTTTGGTCTGCACCTTCTCTCCTCTGTGGCCTCTTGATTTCTATGACTACTATATCTCTTGTGTGACACTTAACATCCTACTACTGCTTTTCTTAACAAGCATGACAAAAAGCTAAGCTCCACTCACTGCACTTCTGCTTGTGTTAAGAGATGGGCATCTCACAGAAGGTATTAAAGGTATTAGAAGTATTAGGTCTGATTTCTAAAACAGAAGATTTATAAGTAAGAGTAGTTGCTTTTAGGTCAAAAGGCCACACCAGGTGTGAGTGGGACATTGCTCCAATCTGAAGGCAGCAGCAATTGCAGACAGAGCAAAGCCAGAGTTATAGAGAAAGGAGATCCATTTGGAAGAGAAATTCCTACTCATCAGTGGTATTCCAAAAAACATACAGGATAAAATGGGATTTTTTTAAAGGTTATTCAACACTTATATAAGCAAGAAACCATGTGGGGAGAGTGAGGAAGTCTATGCATTCCTTAGATTATTTTTGCCCTATTTTAAAAATAAAAGCATCTTGTATATCAAGGTTATTGTTATTCATTTTCCCACTGCAAATAATCTCTGATCATGAATGTATGTAGCAAGGTATGAGACCAAACTCAAATTATTCAAAATTATTACGTTCCTTCAAACGGAGTCAGCTTCTACCCTGTGTGAAATATCTGTTACTGATGTAAATAATAGAAGTAGCAGCAGATGTTGGCTTAATGTATGTAAAAACCTGTGTTACAGTGTATTGCAGAAGTTGCTGCTGTAAACAATGATATAACACACCTCTGAATTACACCAGGTCATGAGACTCTTTGAAGACGACATGGCATGAATTTTCATCTACGAAAGTTGAATAATGCATGTATATGAAGGGCCAAATCTGATGTCTGGTAAAAGCGTGGGTGCAAGCCCAGCTAACTGAGAGGAAAGACATTTCTCAAGTGCTGACATTAGTTCCAGAGTCTCCCCAATATTCAAAGAAAGAACCTGCAAAAAAATCAGTCCAATGGAAGAAGAATCCTGTAATATATACAGATGAATTTCAAACAGTTTAAGAGTAGTTCAGTTGATTGATTTCATGTATTTCATATCACTGAAGAAAGAAAGGGAGAAGAAATACAGTAAGAATAACAGAAGACAGCAAAGTTGGTTTGAACCAACACAGAACTGATTGGCAGGATCTAACAGGAATATGTAAAGGAAAGACACAGCTGCTAAAATATGCACAAGTTAGCTACCCCAACATGGAGAAAAGGTGCATGTTACAGTCAGAGACCAGCATGGGAAGTTTTGAAAACCTGAGAACCAAGGTGGAAACAGAGGTCCTTCTAGATGGCTCTTTGATAATGCCAGAATGGCTGTGGTCTGTGAGATGCCTGTTTACTGATCAAACAGCTACCTCGGACACTCTCTGGGTACCCGCAGGAAAATGGTGGTCCATGTTAACCTAGTGCATGTGGTGTCCCACCTTTTATAGAGGCTGCAGCCCATCTATGCCATGGCCATACTTTTACTCATCCTGCCTGTACAGCAGGCCTGTACGATTCCGAGGAGAGCTTCACAGTCACCCTTAGCAGTAAGGACGGTCTAGCTACGTGCTAAAAACAGTAAGGAAAGAAGGCAAGTGATTAAGGATGAATACAAAGCAGTCACTGAAAAATCTGAGGAAAAAAGGCAATTATGTCTCCAGAAAGGAGGACTCAAATAATCATGGGCCAGTCAGCTGGTCTCTGACCTCAAAAAGTACTAGAGCAACTTACTGGACATAAGTACCTGGAACATCAGGTCCCAAACTGTGGTCTCCAGTTGAAGCAAGGGACCATGAAATCATACTTAACATTAAAATGTACATCACCTTAGTAATGCCTATTTATTAACAGCCTGATGATGAAGTGTATGGCGGGCAACTAGAAACTGTAGACTGTAGTAAGTGATGGTCGAAAAACTTTGGCAATTATTGATATATTATCGGCAGCTATTAGGTAATGATGAACAGCCAATATGGATTTATCAAAGGACATTCATGTAAAACCAGCCTCATACTTTTCTGTGATGGTTTAACTGGCTTTAAGGCTCTTGATAGTGTCCCTTGTGACACTCCTATAAGCAAAGCACAGAGACAGTGGATAGATGGAATCATCACGGCTGGTTCCAAAACTGGTTAAAAAAATTATATTCAAAGCATAGTCATCAATAGTTCAAAAGAATATTGTGAAGAGATTTCAAGCAATGTATTACTGTGAGAAAGAAGCAAGTCAATTTGTCCTCAGTCTAGTTCCAGTCCATATTTTATTTTAGAACACTGATGATGATAAAGGTATCATAGTAACAAAATCTGTGGATCACATCAGACTGGAAGGAGTTATGAGTGCTCTGAAGGGCAGGACTAGCACTCAAAATGTCTTATATTTTAGAAACAGTCTGAAATCAGCAGTAAGAATAAATGTAAACACCTACATTTAGGAAGAAAAAAAACCAAGTGCCAAAATACAAAAAGGGAAATGAACTGCCTAAATAAACAACCATGCCACAGAAGCGGTTCTGAGAGAGTATACTGGGACACTTACTTACAAAGTACCATAAAAGTGAGGAAGGAGAGAATTTATTTCTGTTTATTTAAGCCAATGAGACAGTGCTTAGGCTGATGTACACATTAGAACACCACAGAGTAAGATGCAATCAAATTTAAAAGGCTTCAAAAGAGAGCAATCAGAATGCCAAAAATTTTGGGAAGGATGACCAATGAGGAAAGATTGAAAAAAACAGATATTTTACAAAAGAGATGACTGAGGGGAGACAGTAGCTGTTCTCAACTATGTAAAAGGTAGCAATCTGTAAAGAAAGCAAGTCATGTCCATAAAAAGAAGTAATCTGCTTAAACTGAAGCAAGAAAGATTTACGAACCTCTTAGGAAAAATGTTGCCACTGCAACAACACTGAAAGTGTCCTTCTGGTGTTGCCACACTGACAAGAGCACACTGGTGATA